CTTGGCCTCTGTATTCCTGATGACAAACTTTTCATAGATAAAAGGGAACAATGATGCGCTCAGGACCTTGTCAGCTACTTTTGCTTTTCTGGAACTGTTGCTGTTCATGGTAAGTTCTTCGTCAGTAGAAGTGCAGTGGTTATGTAAATGGAAAGGATAAAACACTGACTTAAAAAGGCCCTGCATATTTTTGTAATGCAATTCTTTGTTCTCATGGGGTAGAAAAATTCATTTGCATCTAGACTTACATGAAAAGTATTAACCATCTCTGATACTGCATATCCTGTACATCCTAATTTCACCAGCACAGTGTTTTGAGCTTGTTAGTCTTATTTTTCACTAATTTATTGAGTTCTATACTTGAAAAAGAGAAAATACAATCCACATAAAAGAGAGACTCCTTTCTTCATGTGGCTATTTTAGCTCTTTTAATGGTCCATTTAAATAAAATGGTTTGTTACCTTTTTTTGCATAGCTGCCAGGTCAGAATATGTGAATGTGTGAAGGGGGTGGTATGTTTTTTGTTGCGTGACCCTGCTCACACCTAAGCAAATCTTTGGCTGCCGTTTCCTTGTGTGGTATAAATACCACTGTGCTTTAACTTGGTTTTTAAAATTGTTTCCACTGTGACATGTTTGCTCAGGTACTGCACAACCTACCTATTAGTGACTATGTTCAGGCGCTGCAACTATTTTTGTTGTTAAATAATTGGTTAAAACTGAAGGTGTTGCCATTTTCTGATTTCATTCTCCTATGTCTATTTTTAGCAGAATGAAGTTTAAAATGGAAATGAAAAGGGAAGGAAACTTGAAATTTGGTGTGCATTGACACATTGCAAGTTTGAAAATGTTTTCTAGATTATCCCCCATGAGGTAACAAGGCTTGCATGATCAAAAGATAGACAACATCATCCTTCAGTCTTTCCACTGGACTTTCAGGTCCCCCCTTTTTAAACCTGTTCAGCCCACATATGGAAAAAATAGTGGTAACAGGATAATAGAAAAGTAACCTCAATGTAAGAAAAAGAGATTTTTTAAGGATACTGTTATCTATAAATTAAAATTAGCAGCTAGGCAAAGAGGAGACTCAGATTATTACCCCCACTGAGAATGCAGTAGTTTGGTATCCACTGGTGCTTTCACATATGTGGCTCTTTATTAGCTTTAGCTCTCTTCCTTGTGTGGGTATCAAAGGGAATCTGGATTTATTATGGTGATAGCGAATGACATTTAGGGAACAAAGATCACAAGTTTTTGGGAAACTAGCTTGCATTATTTCTGCTAGTCACAGACAACATATTTTTCTTAGCAGTTATAAGCATTTGCGATTTGCATGCAGACTAGTAGTTCTTTTTATTCTGTAGATATGTCGGAAATTTGTGTAAGATATGCAAATAGTGTAAATACTGTTCTTAAAATTAATTTGCTGTCTTCTGTAGTAGGTCTGGTGAAGGTGCTACAAGATTTCTGTAATATGCCATCTGTTTTACGTATGTTTCCTGGTTGACATGCAGTCTCTTGAAAAATATGACAATAGCGGGGAAAAGAGGCAGGATATTTATCTCTGATGTTACTACTCATGGGACAGGCAAAATACCTTAAAACCATTTTAATAGTAAGAGTATCAATACTTGCATTCTGTTACTGTCCCATGCATTTGCTTTTTTTGAAGTATGCCTATAGGACAGGAATTCTGTGTCTGGGGGAGAATAGGCTTTGGAAGAGAGACATTTTGAGATCTGAGAAAAAATGCTGTTACCTCTTTATATCCTAAAAGCTTCGCTTCCTTAGCAGTGTTTGTTACGCCTTGAAGTCAACAATATATACAATTACAAAAGGCAAAAGTGGGTGCTTGCTACAGTTTGTGTAAGGTTGGGCCTATAAAACGAAATACTTGAATCCTGTTACGTTTGCATGCGGTGCATGGAACAGAACCACCTGAATCTGAAATGAGACTTCTGAATAATGCTGTACTGTAAGCAAAACCAGACTTGAATACAATGCTGTGCCAGACCGGTACTTTCGAGAACATCCCAAGTGTATTAAGTATATTTTGTATTTATCAGCTGCTGAATGAATCTGGTATAAAACCCTAAACATATAAATGATCCTATAAAAAGGAGGAGAGATCTGCTATGGAAAGTCTGCCAAAAATCCTACAGACAGATGAAGAAGTCCTGAGAAAAAGAACTGAACTTAGGAGATTTTATCACTAAAAGACAAAAATGTAAGAAATTGATATCTTATACTTCAGAGCATACTGTTCAGTATTGTAGTAGTCCATGTATTTTTGAAGTAATAGTGCATCACAGTTATCAATGACTGTGTGTCTGAGTGTAGCATTTTTGTTGCCAGCGTGGTTTTTATCAATAGGTAACCATGACTAGTCTAAAAGCAGTTCTGAATTCTGAGAACCAAGAGGGAAATCTGGCATGTAATAGTAGTTTTCAGTTTTCTGGAATTATGTATTTTGATATTGGGGAGATAAACATTATTATTAATTTTCTTTACCAAACTATAGATAGTCCTTCTTTTTTGAGATTAATGATTGCATTTTTTCTAAAGCATATGATATGAAAATGACCATTAAGAGCTGTAGAATTCAAAGTGCTTTGATCTGAAGAGGGCTTTTTTTTACTGGGAATACACTGTGTGGGATAAGAGATGAAGTGACGGTTTTAAAGGGCTATATTGCTTTCAAATTGTAGGACATTAAAAAAAAAAAAAGATAAAATTCACAACAGACTCCTGCTTCCTTCCACTTGAAGAAAATATACTTGACCTTCAGAGTTGAAGCACTTCTACTACTCATTTTGGAAATGAACACGCTAATTTCTCATTAGTGTGATGTTTTTCAAACTGTGTGTTTCAGTGGTAGGAGTGGGTTTAGTCTCTGCCTGTGATATTTGTGCCAATATTTAATATCTTAAAAAACATTTCTAGTACCTTATAGACTGTCATTGTATATACAATACTCCATGGAGCAAATGTGTTTTAGGGAGCTTTTTTTGTTGTGAATCTCCTTGTCTATAAGGAATTATATGTGGGGGGTGCAATACACATCAGAGGCTCAGCCACTTGGTGTATAGGGTGTATAGGTAGAGGGGAGCAGCTAACAATTCTGAATCTCTCCATAAACCATGTACTCAACACTGCTTAAAATACTAGCTTTTATAAACTTTTGGGGGTTGAAAAAAGAAAAATTAAATTTTGAGACAAGACAATAAAATCCTGCATGGGTAATGTGTTCGTATAAGATGTCCTATGCAAAAGTCTCCCTTAGTTGTGCTTTAAAGACAAGAAGTTAGGCATGGCCTTTGTGTATGTAGTACAGCATGTGGCTGTGATGCAAAGCTTTCTTCTGCCTTTTCTTCCCTCAAACCACCATTGATCATCCTAGTCTCTGCCATACCAGCAAACATAGTTTCACCCTGTGTCCTGTTTAAAATAAATAGCTTATGTTTTAATCAGAGTATACCATTTTTTAAAATACATGCAGTGTTGATTTATGGTTTCCTAAGCTGTGAGAAATGTAGTACCTACTCTGCTTGATTGCTTCCACCCCATGTTTACTGATGAATGTTTGTTTTCTTTCCTGGGCTAGAGTTTGCAAGGATGTGCTTTGTATGGAGGTCAGTAAAGTGCACCAAAGTTCCTGTACGAGGTCTTATTCCAGTCCATTCCACTGAATTATTTCCTCTCACTAGAAGCTCTTCTGTTGCTATCAGCGCTAATAATTTAATTGGCAATTATAGTCAAATGTTAGTTTTCAGAAATTTTATTTTAGTGAATATTATCTAAATTGTTGTAATTCTTGGTTGTTAAAACTGTGTTTGAAATTTTTCATGTTTATCTGAGGCATCTATGTTTTCTGATTCGGGCTGGAACAGCAACCTAAGAATAGGCTTCCTTGCAAATTTGCAACTTCCCAGTGTTCTGATTCTCCTACAGTCAAAAAAAAAAAGGAGGGGATGGATGACGATGGATGGACAGACATGAGATTGATACCTTTTTCAAAGTTTGTAGATCTTTGACTGATGTTGAGTTAGTCTTTTTAGCTAAAGCTTGTTTTGCACAACTCGGCTAAGTAGAGGGAATGCTTGTAGTTTTCAACTTCATGCATAAAAAGGGTATTATTAGAGTTATGTTGAAACAAGTAAGACAGAGACAGTCTCTGGCAAATCTAGGCTTTCATTTTAAACATTTATTTCAAACACATTTTGTTTAATAAACTTCATGAGGTAGACAAATAATGTCCAGTTTTACTGATAAAATAATTTTGTGTTGTTTTTCATTTTTGTTTTAAAAAGTTTTAGAACAATTGCAATGGTTTCTTCAGTTATAACTGTGATTGCTTTTGATGAGGAGATAGTAGAAGGCAGTAGAAAAAGTACAGAATATTCAGATTAAATATTTAATGCTTAAGAAATGTTTGATCTGTCAGTAGTGAAAAAAACATTAATCATAATTTTTATTCATGATGTATGGTGTTGTTATAGGAGATATATCAGTACATCACTAATATAGGATTTATGATGAGACAGTAGGTAAAATGTTCTATTTATTGTTTTGTTGCCAAACTTGACAAGAGGCAAATATAAACTATCAAATGTCAACTTAGGTGGGATTTTTTTTCTCCCATAAAATCTAGAGTGTAGGTTGTTTGCAAGTCTGCTGATCTTGGAATTGCTGCTCAGGAGTTAGAGACTTTGTGAATTTGAGGGTCTTGGGCTCCGTGCAATAGATGTGCATGGAAATTAAAAATTTGTGAAGACCCAGAGTGATCAAGGTGATCTTCCCCTGGCGAGGTAGGTAGCTCTTGCAAACTCAGTACAGTTAAATTGCAGTTTGGTATTGAGACAATGATTAAATTGCCTTGGGAGGAACAAGCCAGGAGTTCTGGACTTTGTTCGCACAAGTAGCTGCCGTTTAAACTGAAGATCCGTGGCAATTACCTCAAAGAGGCAAGGCTCCTTGTGATATACTGCCCGGCTTTCGGGGATGGCGTGTGACGAGCGACTGTGAGTAGTGTTTTCAGACACGGCAGATAAGAGAAGCTTAGAATGTCACTTGGTTATTACAGTGTTGAGGTGCAAAGTGGGTAAACTTGTTAATGTTGTCAACACTTGGCAAATACTGCTGTAGTGTCATATACTGTTAGCTGTCAGGTTTTGTGTGAGAGCCAGGGCCAGTACCTGTTCCATCCGCTAACCCGGCCCCTTCTTCTGGGACCCATTCTTCCAGTACTTGGCTCTCCCAGCAGACTAACAGGCTTCACGCTCGTGAGATGCATTGGCAGCAAGGGGTGCTAGTAGAAATATTTTGCAGTTTTTGTGGTGTGTTACGTAGGTCTGTCTCAGTATGTATCGTAATCTGTGAAAACAGCGTATTTTGGGAATGATTTGCATTTTTTTCGATGCTGGTGATACACATGAATACTCACAGATGTAAATTAGAAAGTGTATCTTGCATTTAGAGAAAAAGAAGGAGAAAGACTTGCTTTTGCAGACGATTTTTAAACACATCCCCTTTCACCAAATGCGAGGCCGTGTTCTATGTCAGAAGATGAGCAGTAATGAATTTCTTCATAAGCTCTCTTCTATCTGGCAGATTACCTTGCTAGTTATGGCAAATTAACCCTTACACTGATTTTGCCATATCATAAACCTCTGTGTCCTTCAGAAAGTTTGCTGTAGCCAATAACTGTAATTCCTTTGAACTGATGCTGATTTTTAAAAAGCATTTGTGCCACTACTTTTTTCCCACCTCTCAGATTGACTGTGGTGTTATTTAAGAGAAGTGAGCCCACTTGTGGGAATGGGGTACATGTGCTGAGAGAATTAGCCAAGAGAACAGATTTGGAGTTTCAAGTTTACGTCCTGTCTTTTTCTTTTTTTTTTTAGGTAGTGAAGAAAATGAAAGTATTTTCTTTTAAACTTCTGTGAAATTTACTGTGTTGTAATTTCAATTATTACAGTAACTAGCTGCTTTACATGCACTTTATAAGTTAATGATAAGCTGTTTGAATAAATTTTTGCTCTTAATTGTTTGTTTTGGCTCATATTAAACATCTTCCCTAAGCCATGAATAACTATGAACTTAAATACATAGCAACCCTCACTGTTTCTGATTAGGTAAAAAATACTGACTGGTGCATGATTAAAAGTTAAAGACTCTGCTGTTAAATGTATAGATGCCTGTGTATAGTTGCACACCCAGTGTTTGTATCTGAGACTTCCTGTAGGCACAGGGGGAGAAGTAGTAAGGACACCAGCTGATACTGCTTGTTTCCCCATAATCTGTGATACAGTGTTATCACTTTCCATTGAGTTGACTTATCTTTAAATTAGGTGAAACCTCGCTGAAAATCAGACTTCATAGATGAACATTCAAATCACACTCAACACCAAAAAGCATTTCTAGTTAATCAAAAGAACTGTGTTTTATTCTTAAATTTCCACCTTTTTTGTTTCTCTGTTTTTGTTTTGTTTTAATTTTATTTCTATTTTTTTTAGTGAGTGACAGTTGCTTCAGGAACCTTGCCGAGGATCGTAGTGGGATAAACCTTAAAGATCTGGTCCAAGACCCTTCTTTGTGAGTATCTGGCTCTTATTGCTAAGCAAAGAAAAGCTTCTTCATGATATCCTTGTGAGTAGTTTTGTAATTATATAAAGAAGTATTATGATGAAGTACACTTAGTGCTTCAGTGGTAATATGCTTGCCCTGTTGTTAGTCTCTGATACAGACAAATATTATTAAAACCATGTCGTTTTTTACCTACTTCTGTTAATGAACTAGCACCCAATAAGCACATATGGTAAAGGGTACAAGAGCAGTCATCAGAGGTAGCAGATTGTGCATGCTGGTATTTCTGTGGAGGAGTTGTATACACATTGTCACCCCTCTTTGTTTAAGGAGGGACTGCATATAAATTAGGAGATTACTGGATGATTGTGTTATCATTAGTTATCTTAACAAGTAGAATCTTTTTTCTTTGTATCTTATTTCATACCGCTGATATTTATTTCTTCCTCTACTACCTGTTTTAATTCAAGTATATAAGCAGGTGACCTAATTTTTATGTCATGGCAAGACTAGTGGTCTTCATCTCAGTGTTGTATTTTCCTCTAAAATAAAATTCAACCTCATGAACTCTCAGCCAGACTTGAAATTGTATCAAACCTTTTTGTGTTGTTTGTTGTGTGTTTGGTTTTTATTTTTAATTTTAAACAATTTTTTTTTCTCTTCAGTTAACTTTAGTACTAGCTGAAAATGTTCTTGCTGTGTGTGCACAAGCATACCACTTGTTATGCGGGAAGGGAAAGAGGGGAAAAATTCACACCTTTTTAACATGAATGATAGTGCGTTCCACAGTAGGTCCTAACATGATGAACCTTTATACTGGCAGAGCACATTTTTCAGTAGTGGGAAGTAGTGGAAAATGAGGTATATTTGGCATATTATGTCAGTTACAGGGGATTTTTAGTAATAAAGTAGATGCAGAATTTATTTTGTCATAATAAAAGGTAGTAAATTACATATATGCATATATATATATATATACATGCACTCTTGGGAACTTTAAACATAATGTATATAATATTTGATAATTTATACTTCGGAAATAGTAGAGGTAAAGGGGACAAGTTGGTTGAGGTAAATTGTTGCTTGAGATTCACAGATGAATGCAATAGGTAAATTTTTAATAACTTATCTAACTTTTGAAGTCAAGGCTATTTAGAGGTCTTAATTTTCAACAAAAATTTGCCTTTTGAGTGTCTGTGAGTTTTTTTGATTGGTTGGTTTTGTTTGGGTTTTTTGTTTTGGTTTGGTTTTGCTTTTGGAGGTTTTTTTGAGAATTGTATGTGGCTTTTTGAGCTGCGGGTATGCTTACATACTACAAATAGTTTTCATTTTGCATCTCTGGAGTTTACTTCAGAAGTAAAAAGATGAATTGTCATTGTTGTAGAATGATCATTTCCTATGCTGTTTACCAAAAGTGATGGAATCTTCTACTTTCCTCCCCTGACCATTAACTTACATGAAGATTGTAATGAATTATTGTAATCGGCAAAATAAATGAAATTGCCTTCTGTTGCTTATTAGCATAAGAAGCATAAGTGACTGCAATGTATCCATTTTTATCTCTCTGAAAGATTGAGTAAAGTTTCAAAACATCTGTTTGGTCTCAAGGACTGATCATGACACTTCTATTATATGACAGATTATAGTGCAAGAAAAGTCTGCTTCTTCCTGCCTAATGATAATAATGTATGGACTTTGTTTTGTCTTTCCGAGTTGATATTCGTGCAGTTTTGTGATTGAGTGCCTATTAAGAGCTTTTGCAGAATGTGTAATAATGCAAGTCAGTCTCCAAAATGAAGAAATGATCTAAGGCTGTATTGTTCAGCCCAGCCTTTTGTAGGTAACTCTAAGGTCTCATGGCATCTGAATTCTTTATTTAAGAATTGTCTTTATTAAGAGAAATGCAAAGGACAGCATGGGGCTGAAGTGTGAGAGTGCCAACTAAAGAGATGTTTTAACCTTTTTTGAAATAAGAATAAAGTTTAATTAAATTCTTTAGAGTATTTGGCTGAGATTTTCACCTATAATGATACCTGAAATAGCAAAATAAGATTTGATTCCTCTTACCAGTTTAATATTTATGGTTTAGGACTTCTTTTGTGGTCATTCGCTCTGACTGTAGATGAACTGCTGCTTTTCTTTGTAATCTATTATCAGATACCAACATCAGATTTACATAAAAATTACAGTGTTTTCTCTGCAAATGGTTCTGTCACTCTAAAGGTTTGCAGTGCATTTGTAATGTATGACACTAGGAAAATAGTGTAACAAAGAGGGTGCAAGAAATTTTAGGTCCATTAGCATATAAATAGACAATCAGTGTATACTTTTATCAGGAGTTCACATTACCAGCAGATGATGGGTTAGCAGCAGAGGTAGAAATACAATATAATACACCAAGCAGGTAGTATAAAAGAAAGTTTAAGTGGTTTTAGATTAGGATGGTTTAATCATCATGCATCATGTAAAATGCATTTTGAATGGTGTCCATTTCTTGTGAGACGTAGCTACTTCATAGAGTTTTCTAAGCTAAGTTGGCCTCTCCCTTGTTGTTTGCCTCTCTTAGCTCCATCACAGACAACTTCTCTTTTGTTATTGTAGAAGTCTTTTTCTGGAGGGCTGAAAGTGTGTCTTTACATTGAAATGAAACTCTCTAAAGATAGCATTGTAGGGTTTTTTGGTTAGTATCTGATTTATATCAAGCATGCCTAATTTTCAGGGTAGTCCTTTTTTCCCCAATTGATTTCCCAGCTAGAGCAGTCTGGACTCTGTAAACTTGATCTGCTTTAAATTCTCTCATAGTTAGTAATAAAAGCTCTGCTGCTGAAATTAGTTCAATCATCTCTTTCTATTTGTATGTGTTATATTCTGTCAGTGAAAATAGAAATGCTGCTTAAGATAAAAACCAAATAAATAAACATAAAGTGAGGAGTTACTGACTGACTGGGAGAAGGAAACATGCAACAACTTTACAATTAGCTCTCATTTTGTAGTTAATTACAGAAAAGTTGAATTTGAACCAAAAGTTGCTTAGAAGTTCAACTGGAAAGGTGGTTTGAGAATTAACTGCTGTTCTTTATTCATTGCAGCTGGTCATAGAATCATAGAATGGTTTGGGTTAGAAGGGACCTTGAAAGGCCCCTAAAAGTACCCAATCTGTGCTTAGGAGAGAAATGGGTTAGAGTTCAATATGGCTATCACCTGAAACTCCTCCTAGGTTCTTTACTACTGAATTTCTTGTAACTGTAAGTTATTTAAATACACCTCTGAAGCATGAACCATCAGATCATTAGAGGGTTAGGTACATCTCCACCTACTTCAAGCATAATTTCTTTGTAGACATTCCCAAATTTTAGCTCTTAGAGTCACTTTATAAGATGTTCCTTTCAGCTCTACCCTGTATATAGACATAAAGTTTATAAAATACTTGTCTAGACAGAAAGGAGGATGCTTTTAGTCTTTCAGTGCAATTCAGTAGTTGCAGCTGCACATAAACACTGATACACATTTGTTTTAGAAACATCTTCAGAGCTTCGTTGAGATCAACAAGATCCAAGAGATTCTGAGTAACTTCTTTCTAGGCATAGTCACATCACATCTAAACTATGTTTCATATCTCCTTCAGATTAGCTGACTTGAATTAAGAGGGAGTAGATAAATTGAAAAAGTAAGAAAGGTAACTTTTGACAGGAGATCAGAAGTTATTTTAATACCTATGTACTACAGAAGCTTTTTTTTTTTTTAAAGGTGTGAGAAGAAAATGTTATTAACCCTCCATGTAATTGCGCTTTAAGAAAAGAGTTTTCTCAACATATGAGATTCCTTGGCAGTTTGTAGCAAAAATTGGTAGTATTGCCTGCATTTTTCTTTGGCTGTTTAGGCTTAATGACTCATAAACCTGTAGGAATAATTTCATCTGTCTGAAGCAAAACCTTAGCAGCAGTCTGTGGCAAAGCAGTAGGTAAGAAAAATGTCTTTCTTAAGCACTTAGTAACTTGCAACTCTACTAATTTTTTTACCTCTTGGCCCAAAGCGCTCTCCTATAACTTCTTTAGAGTTCCAGATCAGCTTTATAGCTCTTAGTTACATAGTAGTTACATTCAGAACAAAGTTGCCTTCCTTCATCATATAGTTTCCAAATTCTTAGGAGGGCTTTTCTTCCTTTTGCTCTTGCAATGCCCTGCAGAAGCCTGCAATTAAGGAGTTATGAGCTAATAAGTAACTGAAAAAGTTGGTCTGAAACTAGAGGCTGTGCAGCCCCAGCGCTGTGTCTGGGTTATAAATGTTGGGGTTGTTTGCTTGCATGGCAGCTGCAGCTTGGGTGCTCCATCTGGCTTTTCAGTTCTAGTACTACCTTCCGAATTAGTTCTAGTACTTCTCTGTGGTGCAGGATTGCACTGCTTGAAGTTTGTTAGCCAGGAACCTCTATCTAAACGTGCTCAGGGATCTGTAAGCAGGGATCCTCCTTGTTATTAGGAAGTTTTAAATTTAATGCATTTGAAATTCACTCTTTTATGGAGCTGTCTAAAGAAATGTCTGTTTCCTCTGGCTTGCTCTCGAACTAACAGTTATAAATGGCTATATGATGTTTGCTGGAATAAGAAACATCATCATAGGCTATAGAGATTTAATAGATCCTTCATTTTTAGGGTTAAAGTTTATGTTATTTTTATTAGATGTACTTAAACTTCAATTTATAAATGAAAATGCTAGAAAATATTTTCAAAAAGGTTCTAAAGAAAAGCAATGTCCTTTTTGCTCTGTTTTACTCTGATTACCGTCTGATGTCTGGAAGAAATACATAGGACACAAGTTGGAAAATGTTGATCAAATTTCAGTCTAGACAGTTTCACAAAACTGAGTAAAAGTTGTTTCTATGTATGTTTTTAAACTTTGATTTTAAAAGTATCCGCTATGCTTGTCACTTAGAATTCTTGCCATTTTTTTTTCCCAGTTGCTGTTTCTAAATTCCTTTGTCTTAATGCCTTACATTCTCCAACGGTACAAGA